CCTTTCCTCCTCCCCTCCACCCCGCTGCTAAACTTATTTTGGGGGGACACTCTGCCTTTCACCTCCAGAAATGTGCATACGCTCTTCATCAGGCTGAGGACACCTCCTCATTCCAACCCCAGCTTGCCAGGCCAGCCCTCCCCACACCCCCTAAACCTTCTGCTTAACTTCCCTCCTGCAGGAGTCCATTCCTGGTCAGTTAGGTGACTTCCCTGTGCCGCCGCCTCCTACAGCACTGAGCCTTTACAGAGCCGGCTCTGCGCTCCTCGAGGCAGGGAGCCAGAGTCTTGCAGTCTCGGAACCAGTGTGGCACACAGAAGGCGTCAGCACATATTTGCCAAGCCAGTGAGTGCCTAAGTGAATGGCTCTCCATGGGTTGCTAGGGCCCCTTCCCTCCTGAAGGTCTCCTTGGCCCGGGCCCTGCTTTCTGTCCTCTGCTGTACAGTTCCCAGACAAGTGCAGCCAGCCGGAGCACGGTAGCCTCAGGCGGTTTACCCTGGGGAGCTCTCTGCATGATCTGAGCCACCCCTCCACTAGAGGCACCTTTGCCAAGCAGGTACTTGACCACCTCGGGGCCCAGTCGGCAAGCTTACCCTCCCTCGGTAGGTGCTCGCCCAGCAGTCTCCCCTCGGAGGGATTTAGGCACCTGCATCTCTCCCATTATGGTGCTGGCGATCTAAAAATATGTCCAACATTAATATATTAATACTCCAGAAAGAGAGGGTCATCTTGTCACATGTTGATGCCCCCCTCCCCACCCTGGAGCCTAAAAACCGGTTAAGCTTCTAGAATTTGAAGGTGAGGAAGTCCTACTTTTGGTGGCTTCCATGTGAGCTTAAGGCTGTCCCCTGCAGCTGCCCCTCAAGCCCAAGGCGAGGATGCCAACCCAGGTGGCCCCAGAGCTTCAAGCAAAGTTCTCTCAGAGGGGCTGTGCTGTCACCACACTTAACCCTGCCTGCTCTGCCTGTCTCGAAACTTGTGGTCTATTAAAAGTCTCAAATCTGTGGTGCTGCTTCTGCCCAGTTTTCTCGTTTTCTGACTGTGCTGTTGGCTTTTTTAATGGATTGGTTAAGGGTCAAGGACTTGGAGAGAAGCCCATAAATGCTGTCCCACAGACCCACTAAGAAAACTGGAACAAACTTCCTCCTCCCTCTGGGTCATTATTTATCGTAGTGGCCCAGTGGCAACAAGTCCAAATCTCAGAGCCCCAGTAACCAGGCTTAGTGGTCAGTTTGTGGAGTGGCTGATAGTAGGTCTCATCAAATATGCTGGCTGCCTGTCATCTGGGCCACTATGCAGTATGCATGCTGCCTCATTGGGTCATCCAGGAAACTGACATCCAGGCCTTATTTTCTAGAAGATAAGAAATATTCCTAGCATGCAGGGGTGCGGCAGGTGTATGTGTGTGTGTGTGTGTGTGCGAGAGTGAGAAGGCACGCACGTGCTACCTTGTTGAATGCTTGCAGTACGGGCAAGGCCATTCCCAGGGGAGGAACCTGACACTTAGAGAACTGAGCACTCACCACACGTCATGCAGCAGTGAAGGAGGTTAAGGCAGGAACCAGGCCTGCCTGACTCCCAGATGCCCTGTGTCTTTCTCAGGAACTGATTCCTTCAGATTGGAGCACAGGGGTTGGGTGAGACCAGGGATAGCAGGGATCTGATTTTTTTTGCAGAGCCTTTGTCATGGTAAAGAGAATAGACTGAACCAGGGCAAGAGCCACAGGCGGAGTTAAAGAGGACATGTGTGATTGGATTGTGGAAAAAAAGATCACTGGCTACAAGAGAATGGATTAGAGGACAGAGGACTGGCTGAGCAGTAACACAGATGGTGGCGTCTGGATTGGGCAGCTGGCACTGGGATGAAGGGAAGTAGATGATTAGGCAGGGAATCAGATGAAATCTGCAGTTCACACTTGATCAGATGTGGGGAGTGAGGAGAGAGCACTCAGAGGCCTCGTTCTTGGGCACTAAGGGCAGGTGGGGCTGCCACTCACAGGGACGGGGAACGCAGGGTCACAGCAGACATGCCCATCAGGGATGTTCTGTGTTTTACGTCCGTACAAAGAGCTGTTTGGGAGGCCTCTGCATGTGATCCAGCACCCAGGAGAGTGGTCCAGGCTGGAGATGATCTCAGGGGTATCCATGCTCATGCTCTTTGATGAGGTCGTCCAGTGGGGAAGAGTTCAAGGACAGAGACTGGGGCGTGTGGGCCCCTCCCAGCACAGGGCCAGATGCTGGTAGATCACTGCTTGCCCACTGGATGGCCTGGGGGTCGGGGCTGGGACATTCACTTGGGCCAGGAGAGGCAGATTGAGCGATTTGTCCAGCAATGAATGAAGGAGGAGCCAGATGAAGTCAATAGAAAACTAATTTTCTTTTCTGCTGGAAGAAATGAGGTGTGTGGCCGCTGGGTAATTGCAGATAACGAGGAGACTTATTCTTAATATGCACAGCGGCCATGGTCTCCAGAGTGCAGGAGACAGGCAGGCTTGGAGGTGTCCTGCCATAGCCAGGCGTCTTTGGTAAGAAAATCGCAGTATCACAGTCCCTCCACTGGGGCCACCACAGCCTCTGGGCCCTGCCACAGCCCCCTCCCCCTCCCGTCCCATTCTCCTTCTTGTCAACTGCCTAGCTCCTCCTGCCACACCCCCTCCCTCCTCCACCCCCTGCCCGCACAGCATAGGCATACACACTAAGAGAGACAAATGATGGGGCCTCAGCTGAGCGGGGTGCGTGTCCGGCCCATAAACCACGAGGATGGGTCACGTCTGGAGTTGCCATGGCCGCCACTACCCACCCATCTGTCTTCCCACCATTCTGCCTCAGACCGGGCCTCCTGAGTCTCTAGGGGAACAAGGTGTCACCTCTCCATGTGCTACATCCACTTCAGGCACATGCATGTTGAGCTCTGCAAGACAGGACCTCATCTGACTTGTCTGCCCTTAGCAGGATCTGCAGAGCTGGAGTCTGGCTAGTGAGATGGGTCCTGGGCTAACCAGAGCCCTGCCCCCACCGCACCCTCCCAGCTCCCCCAGCTCTCTGCTAGCTTAGGAGGGCCCCTTTCCTGGCCTAAGGTCCTGGCAAGGGCTGGCCTGAGGGGCTCAGTGGAAGGACTTGGTTCTTCACAGATGCAGAGGCCTCCCGACCCCACCTTGACCTTACCACCCCCAACACACACTTGATGATGACATCAATGTACAATATTTCTGCAATCACAGCATCGATCCCATGAAGGCTGGTGGCGGCTGAGGCCTGGTTATGGCCCAGGAGCACCGAAGGGAGGTGGGAGAGCAGGTGAGGGAATGGCAAGTCGGTGGCTGTTCTGTGCAGCTGAACCGAAAATGAAAAGCCCAGGCACTCAGGCGGTTTCTGTCCTGGTGGGACAAGCTCTGGGCAGCTGCACTTCCTAATGGTGGTGGATGGAGGCCTGGCTCCCGAGTGCCTGCTCTTTCCTGGACAGTTCAGAGCAATTTTCACAGGGACCCGTACAGAAGAAACTGCGCGTGGTAGGCTCTTGTGTACACAGACATTTCATGTGAGGTATGGGCACAGTCAAGCCCAAAAGGTGGCCAGCACCTAGCTTTGCACTGGGACTGAAGCAGGGCAGGGGCTCATGGCTCAAGCTGGGAGGGGCCGTGAATCTATACCCTCCCCAGCACAGCACCGGCACCCACGCGAGTTGCTGTTGGAGCACACAAGCCTGGGCCAAGGCCCCAGCAGTGCCGAGCCTGGTGCCTTGTCACCAGTGATTACGGCCTGGACCACATCTCCCACACGCACGCAAGTGCCGGCAAAGTCACCCTGGCCGTGGGCGTGATGAATGGCCGCACAGTAATGAAATGGAGACATCAAGGCGGGTGGCGGGAAGACGGAGTGTGGCGGACGGGCCGTCCCCACGCGGCGGCAACAAGAAGGATCGCCCAGCGGCCGGGGGCCGTCAAGGGAGAAATTACACATTTACTCGGCCTTTTTCTTACTGCGACGGCGCCCATACATCACCACTGGGGCTGGGCCAGGACACGCCGGCCAATTTCCAGCATGAATTATGGGGCTGAGAAGCATCAAGACCAGGCTTACTGCCGGCCCAGCAGCACCCATCCCAACCTGAAGCTGGAGATGCTGCCACCAGGGGGCAGACCCTCTGTTGAGCCTGTGGCTCCAGAACCTGCCCCAGCTTCCCACTCCGCTTGTAAAAGGACCTAAGGGCGGAGGGGAAGGATCCGGAGCCCACCTAAAGGTCTTCTCTCTCTCTCTTTCCAGATGACTGCAAGAACATCGCCAACATCATGAAGACGCTCGCCTATCGAGGCTTCATCTTCAAGCAGACGTCGAAGCCGTTCTGATTGGTCGAGGACGGGATGGGGCAGGACAGGGTAGCTGCTTGGCCCAGCCCAAAATCCTCCTCTCCCTGTCCAGAGGGGCGAAGGGAGAGTGGCCCAGCTCTGCGTCCAGAGTGTCCCCCAGCTGCCCTGTGGGCCTGTGCCCAGGGCAAGGGCTTGGCCACTTGGCCCCTCCGGAGCAGACACTTTGTGCCCCCCCCACTCCCACCCCACCCCTCAACCTCAGCCCAGTTATCAGCCCCTCCCATTGTGGACCTGGGCTCGGGGGACCCAGGCCATCACTGCCTCCTCCCTAGTACACAGGCTTCTGCGGGGGCCCCCAGGGTCCCCTGTGCCCCCTCCCATCCATAGTGCATGGTGTGTGGTGCCCCCAGGGCTCCAGGACAGATCAGGCCCTACCTTGTGTCTACCCCCGTCCCCGCTGTGAACGTGCCACTGAATAAAGTCGGGGAAACGAGGCCTTGGGTATGTGTGCGAAGCCGTCCTGAGTGTGAAACAAGTGTCCCAAGGTACAGGAGTTCGGCAGAAATTGGTGGCGAGCTGTTAGTGGTCAGAAGGCTGCTGAGGCAGGCCCCGACCAGCACCCTGGTGGAGCGGCTGTGGGACCCTCCTGGCCGGGTCCTCGGGAGTGGTGAAAAGGAAAAGGCGGCAGCCCGGTCCCACTCAGCATCTCTATTTACACGACAGCAGCACCCACACCCCGTGCGGCCTCTCAGGGCTTCTTGGCTTTCTTCACAGAAGATGAGCTGGAGGCTGATTCCCGTCGCTTCCTCTGGGGAAACACAAGGTGCTGAAGTCAGTGGCCCCCAAGGCCTGGCTCTGGCTGGGTGTGCACACCTCATGCTCTCAAGACACACTGGGTCTACACACACCTGGTCTACCCACTCCTGCCCTGAGTCCCAGGCCCTCGTGGAGGCGGCACATGTACATGTGTGTGCTCTGCTCACTTGCAGGGCCAGGGCACAGTCTGCTAGCCCGCACAGTCTCTTACCGAATTGGGCGTGAGAGGTGCGCCCACCACATCAATGATGGTGTCCTTGGTGGGGTCGGGGCCAAGTCCGGGTTCAGACACTGCGGACTCGGTAGAGACTGGGGCTGGGCCTGATGCTGGCACGGTGGGGCCCCCCAGCACACCAGCGCGGGCCAGCGCCTCGTGCCGGTGCCGCAGCATCTGGAGCTCGTACTCGCAGTTGGCACAGGCCTGCTTGAGCTCGTAGAGCAGCACCAGGTCGCTCCGCAGCTCATTGAACATGTGCACCAGCTCCTCTGTGGGTGTCGGGCTCAGCTCTGCCGGGGGGGTGGGGTGGGGTGGGGTGTGTGTGTGCAAATCCAGCTACAGGCACTGCCCTCTGCCTGCCCGCCCCTGGGAAGGCACATCCTGTGGGCCCAGCCCCCAACTCACCCACACCAAGCTCCAGCAGCATCTGTTCCAGGGCCTTGATCTTCTTCTGTCCCACAGAGCTTGGCAGCTTCATCTGCAACGACCCAGGAAGCTAGGCCCTTTCCCTCCATTGGAGGCTCAGGGGGAAGGGGACTAAAAGCAGCGAGGGTGGGGAAGATGTGGGAGAGAAGGCAACCGCAGGGAGCCACGGGCCAGAAAAGGAAACAGAAGTAGAATACAGTACACATGGGGACCACCGCCACCTGAGGTCCTGGTGGGCCACCTGTCTGTGGCCACCCCTTCTTGCTCTAGCCCCACCTGCTGCAGCCGGCTGGAGCCCGGAGGAGTGCGCCCAGCGGCAGCCTGCAGGAGGGAGTGACGTACCCGCTGGCTCCGCAGCGTGACACCTGCCGACTTGAAGTCTGGAAACTTGATGCCTGCAGTCTCAGGAACAGCCTGGGGAAGGAGTCACGGACAACGGGGTGACGTGGGGGTGGGCCCAGCATCCATGCCGGGACCCTGCCAGCTCTAGGGGAGCACCCCACCCCGACCCGGAGCCGCGCTCTCAGCCTCCGCACCGGCTTCTCGGCCTCTTTCTTCTGCGGTAGCTTCTTCTTGGGGGCCTTGCGCTCCGTGCGCCGCTGCTCCGCGGTCGTGTCCGCCGCCGTGATCAGCTTCTGCAGGTCCTGGCTGCGTTTCTCCCGCTCCTTCTTCCGGGCCTCGATCTTGCGCAGCTCCTGCAGCAGGTACTCCTCCTCTGCCACCTGGGCAAGGGAGCGATGCTGAGCCACCCGAGGGCGCGTGCCGGAGGAAGGGGAGACGGGCGAAGGCAGCCCGGGCGTCCATGAGGGAATCCGAGGAGGAAGGGCGCGTGGGGGAGAGCGTGGGCAGTGACCACGGCTGGGAACCAGTGAGGGCGACGGGGCTGAGCTTGGGGCTGACCTGCTCTGGGGTCCGGTTGTAGAGACGCTCCAGCTGTTCCTTCCGCCTCCGCTCGTGCCCAGCATCAAACACTGGTATCTTGAGGTCTGTGCCTGGCACGGCCCGCACATTGGCAAGCTTGGCACAGATGTGGTAGTACCGCTCCTTCAGGTCCTCCACAGAGCGCTTCTGAGGGTCGGCAATGACAAGGGAGTGACCACTCAGGGACTGGCCTGAAGGCAGGGTGTGCCGGGCCCAGGGGCTGGGCACATGTGCAGATGTATGACGCCGGCTCACCTTGAACTGCTGGTGGTCGTAGCGGTCATGGATAACCACAAACCGCAGGTCAAAGCGGCGGCTGAGGTCAAAGAGGTGATCGGTTTCTGCCTTCGTCCAAGCGTCATCGTGGAGATAGAGCTGGTACTCCTGCTCCGAGTACACGGGCACCTGCACCGTCTGCTGGCACCGAGGGACACAGTGGGGATGTTCACACCACTGGTGAATCTGGTGGGCCCAGCCCCCTGTGACCACAGTCTCTGGGCCAGAAAAAAGGAAATCCTCTGCCCGTGCCCCTGCAGAGGGCAGCCTGGGGTGAGAAAAAACCTGTCTGCTTAACTGGAGGCCCTGGCGGCTCTGGGACTGCAGCTGGCCCCTGACTGACTCCAGGAGCAACTTCACTACACCTTCAGCTTCGGCGCCCGGTAACAAGACACACGCTCCTAACCCCCACGGTCTAGGTGAGGGGCCCACATGTAAGCACTTCTGTGGAGTCCAAAGGTCAAATCGAGTCTGGCAGATGGCTAAGTACCTGGAGAAAGGCCCAGGAGCCCCGAAGTCCATGCAACTCTTGCCTGAAGCACTACTGCCACCCAGTGGTGACAGTGGGGATTGCAGCTCCCTCCACACACCTAGGTCAGGAACCTAGCGGTGGACAGGAACTAGTCCCAAACTCTTCCCCCCTCAGTCCCCAACCCCTCAAAGACAGTCCGAGGCCCAAGGAAAGGATCAGTGCTCTACTGGAGCAGGAGAGTTTTATTTTCTGTCTGAGACCACAGCTGCCTCCTGGACATCATGGTGTCCACACACCTCAACCTTAACATGCTCAGTACTGAACTCATCGCTCGCCCTCGCACTCCTGTCTCCTCCAATCCAGAAGCCAGTCGGTGTCCATCACCAGCCCAGAGGCCCCTGTCAGAAACAGGAGACATCTGCAACTCCTACCTTCCTCTGGACTCCTCCCCTTCACCAAGTCTGTGGCTTCACCTACAAACCTGCCACAGCCCAGTCTGGATGCCACTATCACCTGCCTGGACTAGAGACACAGCCTGCCCCGGTCTCTGCCTCCACGCAGCCCTCCAGGCAAGGCTGGATCTGAACATCGCTACTAGAAGGGCAGCCCGCAGGGCAGGGCCGTGTGCAAACTCTCCACTGGTCTGGGTAAGCATGGGACCTGCAGGCTGAGCCGACCGTGAAGAAACGTGGGCTCGTGTGGTCTTTTCCTATAACCTTCCTGGGCTTATCAGTCTCTGAGGGACTGGAGACACCAAGAACATCCTTCACTCAATCTGTTCTAGAGGACGCCTCTGATCACGTCACCCGGTCATCTTGTGTTAGGCCCCTCGAAGGCTCCGGCCTCCGAGATGGAGTGCCTCTAGACAGTTCACGAGCACCCCACAGCCAGGGCTGCCCACTTCTGGTCCACTTCTGTTCTGCCTTTAAGCTCAGCAACTGCAGGCACCTAGCAGCGAAAATCCACCGCGTCGGCTGACGAACACACGGGCGAGGGAGCTGGCCTCCGCAGCCACTACCCCTCACGGACCCTAAGTTCCGGCCAAATGACTAGCAGTTTCTGGAACATACCAGGCTCTCGCCCTCGGCCTGTTCTTCCACGTGGACATCTACCTAGATGATACTCTCGTCCTCCTGACTGCTTTCAGGCATCCACTCCTCTGGGGACTCCCCCCATTCATTTCAATTCATTTAGTATTTTTAAAAAACAGGAAGGGAGGAGCCAGTCCCACACATATGGAACTCATAGTCAACTAAGGAAGACACTCATTCATTCATTCATTCAAAAAATATGGATCGTGGGCCCGTACCCCTCTGCGGGGGGAAGTACTGAGTTAGGCAGGGTCTTACAGTTGGATGAGAGAGGTACTCCTAGGGTGGCACAAGCGCCTCCTGATCTAGCCCGGGGACAGCGGCGCTCAGAGAAAAGGCAAACGGGTCCAGCTTGGCCGGAAAGACCCCCCGAGGCCCACTCTGCGTGTATGTGCCCCCAGGACAGAACTGACAGCCCTGGTGGGCCCTACGCCTGCCTCTGACCAGCCCTAGCAGACTGAAGGGCTCAGAGAGTGGTTCACAAAGGACGGCGTCGCCGGCCTGCCCCTGCGCTGCAAGCTCACCTTATTGAACCTGGCGAAAGGGTAGTCTTTGCCCTCCTCTGCTGCGCGTCTCCAGTGGAAAAACATGGCTCCGTCCTTCCGGGCCGGGTTGGTAAACGGCATCCACTTCCAAGGCCTCACCTTCTTGGAGCCCAGCTTGGCCTTCACCGTGCGGTAGCCCTGGCCGGTGTCGCTGGGCAGCAGGGGCGGGGCATCCCTGGCAGTGGGGTGTAAGGAAAAGGCAGGCTGGAATCCCAAGGTGTGGACAGGGCGCGGGTCTACCCCGGAGAGGGGGAGTGCCGTCCAGGAGCGGGAGCCGCGAGACCTCCTCGGCCGGGAGGGGCGGCGCGCAGGGGGCAGGGGGTGGGCGCCGGGGCTCCGATACTTGCTTCTTGTCGGAGTAGAGCAGGGCGTAGACCTCCCGGTGCATGCCCTCGGGCCTCTTGAAGGTCAGCGTTTCGGAGGACTTCTTGGACTTTTTCTGGAGACCAGAGGAGAGGAACCGGTTAGACCCCCCCCCCCCGAAAACTCTTCCACCCGGCTCACCCCCCCCAACAATCCGGCACCTACAGCAGGCACGACTGCAGTGAAACGCCACCGAGGGACACAAACCCTCACAGGGGGACCCCCGGCCCGAGCACCTGGGCGCAGGGGACACGCCCTCCCCCAGGTGCTGGATTCCCACTGCCAGCATCTCACCGCCGTCACACTTCATTCTCATCTCTGGGAGGCGTCCTGCCGTGTTGGGCGCCGCCGCCTCCCACCTCCACTCCATCCCGCCCGCGGTGACACGCGTTCTCGGCTCCCCTGGCACCTCCCACCTCCCTCGTCTCTCGCCGTCCGCACCCCTCCCCACCTCCCTTCCCCGGAGCCCCCAAGCTACCTTGTCCGGGTTGATGATGTCTTTCTTGCTGATGGTCCCGGAGGCGGCATCTCCTTCCGGACCCCCGAGTTCTAGAATGTCCCGTACATCTGCGCCCGTAGCCATCGCGCCTAAGAGATGGGGGAGCGCCCCGAGGTCAAGGGTCAGCGCCTGGGAGGGGACCAGGCTCAGGTCAGGGGGGCGGGGCCACTCCAGACACAAGCGGAGGCGGGGCGAAGAGGCGGGCCGCGAGGACGGTGGCGGTCCAGGTCAGGTCCGGGTCCTGCCTGTGGGCTGCCGCCTGCGTGTTCCTAACGGCCCCATCAGCCTCCTCGCCCCGGAGCCTCCGCACCTGCAACCCCCTCAGCTGCGGCCGCCGCCGCCGCTCCCCTATCCTCGGAAAGCCGCTGTCAGAAACTTCCGGTCGTGCTCACTAGAAAGGCGGCCGACAGAAACGCTTCCGGTCTGTGCTTCAAGGAAATGGAGCCGACTGGCAACCCAGTGCGAACGCTCCTGGCCGCGCCGAGCCGCGGACGGTGCTGTGCTGCCGAGAGCTCGCGCGTGGTGGTGCCGCCGCCAGTTTTCTGGTATTGGGCAATGGAAAGAGAGCCCAGAGCTTTATGGCACTGGGAAGTCACTTAGTTTGTCTACACGGGTTTCCTCGTTGGCGAAGTGGAAGTTGTGATGATACCTGCTTAAATGAAATAACAATCCGTGTAAAACATGAGCACAATGCCTGGAACTTCTAATTATTTTTATTAAATGAAATACATTTATCGCCCCTGTTCATTAAGTGCCACTCCACTACGTTCCAGGCCCTGTGCTAAGCTTGGGCGGGGAAGAGAGACACTAGACAGGGCGGAGCTCGCCCGGCCGCTGGGGTCGTCCGAGCCTCAGGGAGGTGTCCGCAAGGGTTGGGAGGGCGGGCGAGCTCTCTCTGCTTTGCAAACTGAAACAGTTAAAGATTTTCTTCCCAAGAATGACTCAAGGTAAAAGAAAAAAGCAACTGGCCGTGCCAAGTGCCGGTGAGGAGGTGGAGTCGCAGAACTGGTGCAGGCGGACAGCAGCCGCGCCAGGCGTCGGGAGTGCCTGGGTGCACTCCTGGCCCCAGCGTCCAGCTAGTGCCCACGCTGGGGTGCAGGCGTGTCCGTGGTGGATCGCCCACTGGGAGACCCTGGACTGAGTTCCTGACTGCTTGTCTGGTCCCAGCCCAGTCCCAGCTGTTCCGGGCGTTTGCCGGGGGAACCAGCAGATGGAAGCACTCTCTGGGTCTCTCCATCCCTCTGGCTTGCTCGCTCGCTCTTTTTGCTTTTCAAATCATGTTTTAGAAGAAAAAAAATCGCAGCCACATAGGAACATCATTTGACACGAAAGTTAAACATGTATACACCTGACGTCACAGCAATTATACTCCTGGGAATATTCCCAAAAGTAATACTTTTTAAAGATTTTTTTTAAAAAAGTTTATTTGAAAGGCAGAGTTAGAGAGAAAAAGGTCTTCCATCCACAGATTCACTCCCCAAATGGCTGCAACAGCAGGAGCTGAGCCAATAAGAAGCCACGAGCCAGGAGCTTCTTACAGGTCTCCCACACTGGTGCAGGGGCCCAAAGACTTGGGCCATCTTCTACTACTTTCTCAGGCTGTAAGCAGAGAGCTGGATCGGAAGTAGAGCAGCCAGGACTCAGATCAGCGTCCATATGGGATGCCGGCACTGCAGGCGGCGGCTTTACCTGCTACACCACAGCGCCAAACACAAGAAATAATTTTTTAAAGATTTATTTATTTATATGAAAGTCAGAGTTACACAGAGAAGGAGAGGCGGAGAGAGAGACAGAGAGAGGTCTTCCATCCGTTAGTTCATTCCCCAACTGACCACAACAGCCAAAGCTGCACCGGTCTGAAGCCAGGAGCCAGGAGCTTCTTCCGGGTCTCCCACGCAGGTGCAGGGGCCCAAGGACTTGGGCCATCTTCCACTGCTTTTCCAGGCCACAGCATAGAGCTGGATCAGAAGTGGAGCAGCCGGGACTCGAACTGGCGCTCATATGGGATGCCGGCACTTCAGCCGGTGGCTTTACCTGCTGCGCCACAACGCCAACCATGAGAAATAAATTCTCGATGTCTACTAAAAGACCTGTAGAAAAATGATCATAATAGTATAATTCATAGTAGTCCCTAACTGACAACAACTTAGAAATCTCTTAACAGGAGAAATAAGTGTGATATATTTTACAACGAAATAGTATAAGCTATGAAAAAGAATAAACTGCTACAAGCAAGAATGTGAATGAATCTCACTGACATAATTGTGAAAAAAAGTAAGGCAGAAACGAATACATACCCTATGACTTCACTCATATGGCATTCAGAAACAGGCAAAATGAATGGATCACGACAGGTCAGGACGGTGAAGGGCACCGAGCGGCTGCTGGGAAGGCTGTGCGTGCTGAGCTGGGTGGGGCGTGTGGTGCTGCGCAGCCTGGTAAACACGCCCTGAGGTAGGACAGGGTCTGTGTGGAGGTTACATTTCAACAAGAGGGAGTCGAGCACCAACCGTAGGGGAAAGGGCTGATGAATCTGACTGCCTAAAGGTAATTACAGCCCCAGGGCTAACAAAAGGTAAGCTTTGGCGGTGTTTGTGTTTTCATCCATCTGTGTGCCCAAAACTCACCAATCAAAACATCGGCTCCAATCAGGATCACCAAGCAGACTTACATGAGCAAATGTGTGCTATAAATAGGAACAGACACCAAAGTGGGGTCCTCCATTTTCAGTGCGTGTGCAAATCGCAGCCCCCAAATAGAAAAACAAAGAGAGCTTTGTTTCGTAAGATAAAACAGTAACAAAGTGGAGGGGCACACTGACAGTACCACTATGAACAAATTATAAATTTGCATTATTTTATTTTAGAGAAAATTTGTATTAATATGGAATACTTGTACATTTTTACAGGGTACAGTAAAATAATACATATAGACAGTGGAAACTGATCAAATCAGGCAGCTAGATTTCCCATTTCCTTACCTTCTCTGTGTGTTTGGAGCCTACCAGGTCTTCTCTTCCAGTTCTTTATACAAGATAAGGTACATTCTTGTGACGTACAGTTGCCCTGCTGTGCTGCAGAGCGCCAGAACCTATTACCTCTACCTCTTGTGTTTTGTGCTCACTTCAGCAACATGTATACTATCTGTGAGGTTTTGGAACCCATTGTCCAATCTCCTTCCTCCACCCCACCTCCCCTCACCCTTCCTAGCCCCTAGTAATTACTCTTCTAAGTTCACATTGACTTTCTGTAACTCTCACATTGAGAGAGAACATGTGCATTTGTCTTCCCTTGTCTGGCTCATTTCATTTAACACAATGACTTTCTGTTCCATCCATTTTGTTGCAAATGTCAGGATTTCACTCTTTTTAATGGCTGAATACTATTCCATTGTGTATATAAACCACATTTTCTTTATCCATGCCTCTGTGGATGGATGCCTAGGTTGATCCCATCTTAGTTATTGTGAATAGCTGCAATGAACATGGGAATGCAAGTAGATGTCTCTTTCATATGCTAATTTCATTTCCTTTGGCTATATACCAAGAGCTGGAATAGCTGAGTCACATAGTAGATCTGTTTTTAGTTTTTAAAAAAGATTTATTTATTTGAAAGTCAGAGTTACATAGAGAAGGAGAGAGAGAGAGAGGTCTTCCATCCGCTGGTTCACTCCCCAGTTGTCTGAAGCATCCGGAGCTGCACCGATGCAAAAGCCAGGAGCTTCTTCCGGGTCTCCCACACAGGCACAGGGGCCCACAAACAACAGAGAGCTGGATCAGAAGTGGAGCAGCCGGGTCTCCAACTGGCGCCCATATGGGATGCCGGCACTGCAGGTGGCAGCTTTACCTACTCTGCCGCAGTGCTGGCCCCCTGTAGCTATATCTTGAAGTGTCCCCTCTGTTTGTAGCACTTTCATAGCTTTTTTTTTTTTTAAAGATTTTATTTATTTGAAAGAGTTACACAGAGACAGGAGAGGCAGAGAGAGAGAGGTCTTCCATCCGCTGGTTCACTCCCCAATTGGCTGCAACGACCGGAGCTGTGCCGATCTGAAGCTGGGAGCCAGGAGCTTCTTCCAGGTTTCCTACCTTCTACTGCTTTCCCAGGCCATAGCAGAGAGCTGGATTGGAAGTGGAGCAGCTGGGTCTAGAACCAGTGCCCATTTGGGATGCTGGCGCTTCAGGCCAGGGCGTTAACCCACTGCGCCACAGCGCTGGCCCCAGCACTTTCATAGTTTTATTCTTACATGTAGGCCTTTCACCCCTTTGGAGTTGGTTTTTGTTCATGGGGAAGGCAGGGAGGGGTGCTGTTTAAATCCTGTCTATGGACATGCAGTTTTCCCCAAGCCATTTATCGAGGAGGCCGTCCTTGCTGCGGTGTATATTCTTGGTGCCTTTGTTGCGAATCAGTTGGCTGTGGATGTGTGGATTCATTGTGCTGATGTGATTTATTACATTTATTGATTTGCATATGTAGAACCACCCCTCTATCCCTGGGATAAATCCCACTTGGTCATGGTGCATGATCTTTTTGATGTGCTGTTAAATTCAATTTGCTAGTGTTTTATTGAAATCTGTGTTGATCAGGATGTTGGTCTCTAGTTTCCTTTATTTGTCGTTTCTTGTATGGTTTTGGAATCAAAGTAATGCTGGCCTCGTAGAATGAAGTCTCTCCCTCTCGATTTTTTAGAATAGTCTGGGAAAATTTTATGTTGGTTCTTCCTTAAAAGTTTTGTAGAATTTGTGAAGCCCTGTGGTCCTGGGTTTTTCTTTGTTGGGAGACTTCTTATTACAGATTCAGTCTCATTACTCACTGTTAGTCTGTTCAGGCTTTCTATGTCTTCACAGTTCAATTTTAGTAAGTTATATATGCCCACAAATTTATCCATTTCTTCTAGATTTTTAAATTTGTTGCCACATAACTGTTTATAACAATCCCTAATGATCTTTAGAATTTTCTCTCTGTGTGTCTGTGTGTCTCCCTCTCTTTCTCTTTTTTGGTCAGTTTTTGTCTTAAAATCTACAAGCCACCAGTGTTCAGTCATGGGGGTCTACCCTGGGGATCTTACATGATCTCAAGCACCCCCCAAAGGCCCACCTCCAAACACCCTAGTCTGGTTGAGCTCCCACCTCACAACACCTTGCCATGGCGATTAAATTCCACTGTGAGCTCTGGAAGGGGATGAACCATGCAGTGTCTGTTAGCCCCAGCAGGAGAGGAGCCCTTTGTCTGGCAAGGGAGGCCCAGGAGGGTAAGGGTTGCATGGTCTGGGTTAACAGAGTGCCTGCTTTAAAAAATATTTAGTAATTTATTTATTTGAAAGGCAGAATTATTTGAGCGGCAGAGAGAGAGAGGCCTTCCATCTGCAGGTTCATTCCTC